TGTTGGAGTTCCATATTTTGTAAAGCGGTTGATGCATGGAGTGAGAGTCACACCAAAATAAATTAAATAATGGGTTACCATTTCTCTGGGCAATCCTCACGTCAAATTGCAGCATTTAGTGCAACTGGACACAATGTTAAACGCTTGTTACTGAACAAGACAAGATTAACACTCTCGCACTTTAATCAAACAAACATTTAATCTGTTTTATTAATTTAAATTAACGAATAATTATAAAATTATTTTATAAATTTAGATAATAAAATATTAAATAATTTTTAAAAATTTTATATATTTAATCTATACATTAAAAAATTTTATTTTAACGATAGAATTATTAAAATTTAATGAAAAATATAAATTATTAAAATAATAAATTTAAATAAATACTTTATCATATATAAAAAGGAGGACTATAAGTCCAAACTTAGAAAGAAAAAAATTTATATCAAAAATATCTCTAAGCATAAAAAATTAAATCTAAGAAAGAGAAATCTCATAAACAATAATGTCTTCCAAAATAATAGATCTCTCCCAATAAGATTATCACTTACTTGATTAGTAATATATTGAGTTCAAGTTCACTTAACATAAGTTACATTTAATCTAAGTTAACTTAATTTGCACTATAAACTATTAAACTTTAGGAATAACTTGAATACCAAACACCTTGAAAGGAGTGCAAACACTAGAATCTCTCTTTACACTAATGAAATATGTTCATTGTGTAAAAGAAGATTTAAAGATTTTTTAACCTTGTTTTTAGCTCTTGATTTTTGTGTTTTATTTCTTGTTTGGTAAAGGTCTTTTGTTTGTAAATGATTTTGAGAAGTTTTGATAACAGCATGCCAATGGGCTAAGTCCTAAAAGAATCAAGAGGAGTTTCTTAGGCTTAAAGGAAGAAGGTTTAAGCTTTTATCAAGCTCTAAGTTATTTTTAATAGTTTATTTTCTCTTATTTGTTAATATTTTTATTTGTAAATATTTTCTTAATTTTTGACCTTGTACTTTCGGGTCAAGTAGAATAAGAATTTATTTTCTTGTATTTTTATTTTTAGGGATGTAAATTATATTTTATGAGAGATGCAACTAGAAAAGGTTATTTGGATTTGTTAGGCTTAAATAGCCCATGAGCACTACATTCGTCTCATGTGTGAGACGTCCACTTGTTTGAGAACTCATAAGCTATTCAAGAAGCCAATATGTTATATGGTCTTGCCTAGTTAAATTTTAGACACATGCCAAGTGATAACCTTCCATTAACTTTTATAAATCTAGGATGGTAATATGAGTCACATTTTTCTTGTCTTTCCATGTGGCAAGCTATTAGTGACTCTCCTAGATCTAACATAGTGACATTTAGGAGGAGAATTTTTTAATTTATATTTTATAACTAGGGTTAGTAGTCTTGAGTTCAAATTAACCTAACCTAGATTACACTTAACCTAGGTTAGCTTAAGTTGCACCACAAGCTACCAAATCTTATATATACTTGTAACCTACACTTGGATGAGTACTTTTAAGCATTTGAGAATAATATTCAAATTTTGTACTCTCCAAAAGTCTTAATTCTTTCTCTTATCTTTTATCAATCCTTGTGCCAAGTTCTTTACTATTCTTACTTATCTACTCTAAAAAGTGGTGCGCCTCACCTTTTCTTCTCCTTCATTATTTTCAAGTTTTTGAAGCATTACAAGCCCATAAAAAAGGATTGGGAGCACATTGAAGCTAGTTGAAGAGATTCATCCTTCATCTCCAAGTTAGTTTCATCAAAAATCATTATTGATGTCATTATTGGACTATCTTAAAGGTTCAATTTATTTAATATTATTATTAAATCTCAATTTTTACTTCTTTTGATATTGATATTGATATTATAACATCCCGCACACACCAGAATGAAAGATAAAAGATCAAATCATATTCAAAGAAGTAAATGAAGACTTATCAAGAATGACTCAATTTGATCGATTCAAGTTAGTTTTGCTCAATTTGCAGTTAGAGGCAATAGTTTAACTATTGAGCATGCCATGTGAAGGCCTATATTTTTTTATCATTGAAATTACATCAACGATAAAGTTTATTCATTGATGGTGAAAAGTTTAGAATAATATGTATTATTTCTTATGTTCAAACTTGTTGACATCATTGTAACTCCTATTCATAAAAAAAAAGTGTATTTATTGAGAATTGTTTTTATATATAATTATTGAATAACAATTTTTGTGACACTCTACTCCACATATATCATTTTATACAATTCAATAATTGTAAGAAAAAATTAGTAAATTATACTAAATAAATCAATTAAATTTATATACATAAGGTAAACTCTTTTGGTTGACTTGTCCCGCAATATAACTCTCAATTAGGTACATTATGTAGGCTCTACAATAAGCTTTTAACTGAAATGGGTTGGTTCACTTGGGAGTTCTTCTTTTAGAAATTCTCTCAATCACACTAGTTTGATTCTTCCAATCTTCAAATCACCATTTTTACATCATAAACAACTTATTTTCACCAAAATAAACAACATGCAATCTCAATAAGATCTAGGATCGTCATTTTTTTCTTTTAACACTAAGAAAGTCCAAAAACTTAGAACAATAATGTTCAATCTTTTAATTTTCAACATTCATGTCATCCAAGACATGAACACATCAAATTCAACGTATTCATCAAAGAAGATTAAATTACATATTTTTCATCTTTGCACATCTTGTGCTAAGCTTGGAAAGATGCTAATAATATTCATTTACTTATCAGGAAAAAGAAAAAAAAAACAGTTCTAGTAACATAGTTATTTACTATCGGTTAAATTTATCAAAAATTACAATAAAATCAATGAGTCTTGTTAAATAGGAATAGTAATTTTTTTTAATAATTTTTAGTCAATAATAAAAAATGTGTTTAAAATAATGTGTTATTATCATCTAATATTTCTTTCTTGATGTAATGTAATAACAATATGTATGTTTGAATATCAATTTAAAACTACATTCAACAGAAAAGAAAAAAGAAAGAAAAAATGTAAATGTAATTTTTTTAAAAACAGCTCACTCAATTAATTTTCAAATACATTTGTACATTTACATTTTATAGCCTTTGGAAAATGTTGGAGGGTAGGTAGGATCTGTCAGAAGGGTCAGTTTGGGTTGAACGTGGCAAATCTTTACTTTTACATTGGATCTCATTATTAATATTCATGTGAGAAAAGAAAACACCAAGATAATCCAACCCAGTTCTTGAGGATCGAGCTTTCATGCCGAGGAATCCGGGGACAGGTCAAAGGAGAATGCTGAAACACCCTTCATTGAATATACATGATATCAATAAATAATATCAACCATCGAAACTTCCATTCTTTCTTTGTTATGTGTATAAATGACACTAGGCACTTGCTATTCCTTTAATTCTACTTGGCCATAGCACATATTATACAGCTTTCGAATAGGCTATAGTTAGATCCAATATTAGTTTCAAATATCCAATGAGACTATTGATACCTGCTTTGTTTCTTTTTCTGATCCTTACCTTCAATGTGACATGCTTTTTTCAAGGGGAAGCACTTATCAGTGAAGGAGTTGTGGCTTCTGGGAGTTCTTCCACTTCTGTGAGTTTGCATCTCTCCTCTATATCAACCTCTTGATATTTTTGTTAATTGTTCATTTAATCTATGTAATGGGAGTAAGTTAAATACAATTTTAATGAAACTCATAAATGGTGAAATGGAGCTGTGAATAGGATTAGATCATTTTTATTATTATTATTGAAGAAGCAGTAAATAGGTTTTAACTATGCAGACAGCTGGCTGTGAAAAGCAAAGGGGTGAATGCAAGGAAGAAAGTGTTTTCGAGAATGAAGACTACGTCTATACCAACTCCTTGCCTTAGATGGAATTTGTAATTTCGATTTGTTGCTTAGGATTACTTCATATTATTTCCTCTGCTGGATAATGTATTAACGTTGTTGAATTCATCCAAGATTGCCACATTGGCAATTGTAGAGGATCTATAACTTTTATTTACAGTTTTATACTCGTAACATGAATTAGCTGATAATTAACTGCTCGTCCCCTGATAACAAGGCACAAACACAAACATTAATTGTGAAAGCCACGAAGTTGTTTCTTTAATTTGAGTGTTGAACACTTGTGGGTTGGTTCATATAGACTAACAATAAAATAACATTTTTTTAACTATTAAAATGGTTAATTTTTAAAAATATTATTTTTACAGGTTGGTCTGCAAACTTTTCAGCTGTTCATATGTACCCGCTGCATACATGGATGAGGACTTTGTCTGATGTGATCTAAGTTAGCACGAACCATGAGTAAGCCGCAACACCGTTCCTTACCTATATTGCGTAATTAATGGTTATAGAGCATTAATTGCATAATAAATGCGAATCAACGCTAGCATTTTCCTTTATCTTACGTCATTTTTATAATAATTTTATTGGACTTAGACCCTCATAACGGGTCTAAGCTTTTAGGTCTTACCTTACTGTGTAGATGACACTATATGGTGTGTTACCTGCTGAGACTCCTAAGACATATGCTTCTGTCCTCGGCCATGGCCCTCAGCTCCGATTCGAGGTCTTCAGCCCCATATATTGACACTAGCTCAAATTATTAGAAGTAAGTTTTTGCCAACTCGAGAATTATCCGATAATCCGAAACCCTTCCGGTATAATTATTATTCTAGGTGCGTGTCGTATCGGTACTATAGTACTATATATAAATGGGTGATAATACATTTAACAAATTGGGAAAGGGTATACATGGAAAGCTAAAGGCTAATTACCAGTAATACAAACCAACCAGTTACCACTTACCAGTAATAGCTAACGGTAAAAGATGGCGGGAGAGAGATATTTGAAGCCATTAATCAAACAGGCAACTTGAAAGTCAAAATAAGTTGTGTGATGCTCGTGTACAACAGTGAGTGAACCTCAAGTTAGATCCTCTTGACAAGAAACAGTAATCACCAAAAACTGTAATTTGGCCATCCAGCAAATGTAAGGCAAATACATACATTTGCATTTTCATTTGACAAATTTATGTACGTCAGTTACATGAAAAGCTTCCCGCTGTCGGACTATATTGGAAGCTGCACCATACCATATGGTGATTACAACAATAATCGCTACACCAATGCCTATAAAATTTACAATATGGAGGTAAGAAGAAAAAGGGTAATAAATGTTATAAAATTTTGCAATAAGGGAGCGTGAGGGGGTCATGTTAATTACAAAAATGTGGCTCGCCAATTGGCTACCTCAGCCCGATCATTTTAGCAAAATAAAGGAGAACAGAAGCCTCCAGCATAAAGCCTCAGCACGTGTTGATGTCTTCCAAGATGTTAGCTCTTTGACCTCCTATTCATTTTGAGGCCCCGGAGGTTGACTTGTAACCATGAACTTAACATGAGCTACATATCCATCCTAAATCTGCAACGGGGTAACATCAAAAGAAATAAATAAGTATATGGAGCAGGTCAAGGACCCAAAACAGTGTTCAACAAGAGGGCCAAGAAACCAAAATCCGTGTAATATGATACAGATCCTAGAATGCATAGACCCACATTAATATACTTTGACCATAAATTAAGAGGTAAACATCAGAATTTGCTTTCGTCAGTCATTCACTTACTAACATCCTGCAACCACTGAAATAACTTGTTCAGCCAGGAGAGAAATCTCCATTAATGGTCGCAATATTGGCTTGACACTATATCTTGACCCAAAGCCTCAAGACAGGGTATGAGTCTCTTTGCTTAAAATTTGTCCTCCGCCGTTAACCCATTCTTATTCAATGCAAGGCTTCACCACTCACACTTTAAGAACTGGTAACATTCTTTTAACTGTGAGGATAGTAGGTCTCTCACATCTAAAATTTGCAAGTTGCATGTTTAATCTCAGACCATAAATCAATTTTCATATTAAAAACCAAAATTTCAGATAAGTATCCAATTCCCAACCATTGCGGGGTCTGGTATGAGGAGGCTCAAATGTATGCAGCCTGACCACTGCGAGCAGGGAAGCAGAAACATAGATCATAAAAAGGACAGCCTATTGCATTAGCCTCTTCCATCTGTATGTCTTTGGGATGGGTAAGAAGTGCACAACCTTACCATAAGAAGTGCACAACCAGAACAGTTGAACCCATAGCCACCACTCACCACCAGTTCACAACTCAAAAGGCATAAACAAATACCATAATGAGGGGAAAGAATTGACATGTCAAGAACTCGCCAAAGAATCTTTATGACTACCTAATTGGCGTTTTACATATTATCTTAACATGGACATATCACATCCTAAAATTATAAAAAATAAAAATTACCTAGTTGGTTCTTATGCAGTCCCTGTAATCAACCTTTCCCTTTCATCTAGCTTCTTGATCTTCACAATGCCAAAGAGAACTTGAAAACCAAAGATTGCACAAAAGACATATGCTATAGTGGCAGGCACCTGAAAAAGATGGCATGTAACTGAGGAATGAGAAAGTACCACTACCACCAAGATATCAATTAATTGAATAAAAAATAACTACAAGAAAGATAAGTGAGATGGTAACAGCTTACCCTAATTGAGTTAAGATACAGAATTGTTGCAAGATTTATTAGGCTCCCAGCAGCTATTGCCTATTAATTGACAAAAAGGTAACATAAATACGCATTATTTCACTAACTTTACTCGTCTTTTATCATATACATATATCATATATATAATCTGAAGTGTCGATTCTAAAAAATGATGCACATGGTTTACAATAAGTACATACATGGAATATACTTTGTTCAAGAGACAATTCACTCTGAACATACATCATTCACTTAATATCTCTTGGAAGAAATTAAGAATATAGATTGTTTTATGCAAGTTAAAACATGTTGATTCATGCCTGCAAAACACATGATAATACTCCGACATGCAAGGCTGAATGCACACACAAATATCCCAATTTTTAAAAAACTAATAAAAAGAGAACTTCAAATCTTTGAAGGCAGGTAAGCTTATTCAATGTAGTGAAATATTGCCAGAACAGGAAGCAGGTATCCATTTTTATTTCCATAGTTAATGAGTTGTTGCCATTGCAAGGGTGATCCAACAACAGCCAACTGGCTAACAATAGATACGAGATAATAAATTTGAAAGAAAAAGCATAGCTACAAAAAATGACAACAGAGTCAACAGACTATTAAACAGACTCAAACCAAATCCCAAGAAACAACTAAACTTATAATTATATTATGTTAGAGGCCATCCATACTCACATTCCCTATTGTCTTCTGGACAGTGGCAATACGCTGGAATGCCCTCTCAGATTCCAAAGTTCGGACTCGGAGCTTTAGATCACCTTGCTCCTGCACAAGAATGAAGAGTAGGAAAATATGATCTAGAATACCAGAAACCCAGAACAAACAAAAGATACAAATCAAACAAAAACCTCAAATCATATCAACAAAAATCTAATGCAAACCAATTTTTGGATGATTTCAGCAAGCTTTTCAACCCTTTCAGCCTGTCTAAATAAGTTGTAAAATGCTTGAGATTGTCTGTCCCATCTCTTTCGGAAGTCCTGTACATTCAGAAGAAAGATATGAGAAAGGAAATCATAATGCTTAGATGAATTCAACCATTACAGAACAAGTTTGTAACTGCCTTTATGATAACTTCAACTCCTGCCTCACGGAATTTTAGCAACTCCAGAGCATAACTACAGGATCAGGAAAGCTGAATGTTAGATGCGCAAAGCTTACAAGTTAAAACATGTAATGTATAAAAAATTAAAAAATTATATACTGTGAAACAATACTCACGGTTTGGCAATCTCAGTAATATCAAAACGAGGATCGAGGCCCTTTCCAATGCCATCCAACACTGCAAATACAATGTTGACTTGTTACCTTGCAGTCACATGCATAGAACATGCAAAGTAACACAAAACTCTTAATATTCACCTGAGAAGGCTCTAACAACAAATGTGAATGTGGCAGGAAACCGAAAGGGCTGGTCTGCTGCAATGGCTAATAAATCCTCACCTGTTTAAAATATGAGCTATGAGTAAGTTATATAAGCCTATGAATTCCATAATGTTATTTAACTAAATCACGTTGGTTTGGATGAACTGATGAAATGGGCATGGTAAGGGAATATTTATTCCTACGTTTCATATGTTGTGAAAAGAAATAAAATGACGACTTTATTCCAAAAAGATTTTATACTTGAACAGATAAGTCAGACGTGATGGGCCAATTTTAGAGCATATTGGAATGGAATTCCATCACTCCAGTAATGGAATATATATTCCCATAATTGTACACGAATGTTCCTTCCCATTCCAATGACTTAACCAAGCATGGGAACGGGAATGATCCATTCCATCTAGCCAAACTTGCATTCATTAATAGAACACAAACACCCAAAATGAAGTACTAAAAGTTCTGACACAGAAAATTTTCTTATAGTTGACACAGGTAATGTCAAACTTTACAGATGAAATCACTTTAACCAATCGGGAAAACAAACCAAGTTCAAAAATCATAATATATAGAATTGTATATAACTAATTAACGTTTCACCTACTTGATACCGGTTAAAATAATAAGTTACTAACCCATGACCCATACCCAATAGCCCAAACAATATATTCTTCCCTATAACTTGTCTATTTTTATCTTCACATGACTCATTTCACGAACAATATTGTATGCATACATCCAAATAATCTAAACTTAAAGACACACTGGACCATGTGCATTACCAATAGCAGCCAGACGTTCTTTCTTCTTCATTACTTTTTCCTCTTTGCTTAATGGCTTTTTGAATCCAAGTTCAGCTGTTGCCATCTCTCTCTCTCTCCTTTGTGCAGCCAGACGCTCTTCAAAACTATAAAATAATAATGTTGAAAAGCTAAAGGTCAGAGATTGTAGTGGGTTGCTAACATAACCAATCAGCACCACAGACATGTAACTCTGGTCTAAACCACAAAATACTAGAGCAGGGAGAAAATATTAGCTTAAAATATCAACAAGTGGTCCAAAATTTGCAGTAACAATTTTCAAATAAATATCACTACTTATTTCTCTTTTGGAGTGGAAAAAAAGTTAAGACCTTTGATTCTTTGAGTTGATGCAGTTTGATTCTACCACTTGATCCAACCCTAATATCACTATATTCTTGACATAACTAATCAGGACAGCCAAGTATTTCAAGCACAAATCCGTATCAATGAGAAAAAATTTCCTTGCCCAAGATAAAAAGTTTAGAATCTCCTATTCAGAACTCTTCTTTATAAGTAGTTTTAAGCTTCCTTCGCAGGTATTGCAATCAGTAATCTACAAACTATGTGATAATATTGATTTGCAGAAATACTACTGCTGAGTATCTATAGGTGTTTCTATTTTATGAATTCCCACCAAATGGGTTTAATTTGAATAAAATACCTATTGAGGAAGAACTGTGCTGTTCGTTTAACAGCAGTCATATCTCCAGTTGGGACAAGAACACCCATTTGAATCATTGCTTGAAGGACCTACATAAGTACACAAGCTTCATTTGGTAAATAATTTAAAATTGAGAATGAAATATGTTAGAATTTTCATCGTATTATGGAACGCCATCCATAAAAAACAATTACTTTACCTTTTCTGGATTCTTCTCATAAATTCCATAAAAAGCTTCAAGTAAACCTTCTCGGATATTTTGACTGATACTGTAGGGTGCAATATCAATCATAATAAGCAAATGTATTCATCTCACCAAGAGTAAAATGCTCGACTTGTAATTCATATTTTAAATATACAGAAAAGATAAAGAACATACCTTCCCATCATTCCAAAATCATAAAAGATCAATCTTCCACCATTGACATCATCAACTGCAATATTTCCAGGATGCTGCATGAACAATGTAAATATTAGCTACGAGAAGCATCAAATTGAACCTCTTACGTGATAATCACAAAAATATGAGAATTTATGCATCCTCATTTAACACAGTTTTTTCCCTAGAAAAAGGGGAAAGAACTAAAAACATGTCAGGGCAGTATAATAACGAGTCCCTAACAGTTTTGGATGCTTGGCAGTCACTATTTCTCATCACATGAAGGAAGTTACTTCTAATGCCCCTGTGATTAAGTCCTAAGGAGTTTTCCCACCCAAGGCAACAAGTTATAATCTATATGAAATAGGCAGCATGCTACTTGTAACTCAGGCAATCGACGCTTGAATGTTGCAGTATATGAGTAAATTCAAAAATAGAAAACATAACATGTCGGCTACACAATATTATTTACCAGCTAGACAATCCAAAAGAAACACTAATGTTGTGTTTGGATTAGAAGTGAAATAGAGAGGAAAGCAATAAGGACAGATATACAATGGATGGAATCAAAAGAGAAAGAGAGGGTAGAGTAGAAAAGATGTGTTGTTTGGAAGAATACAAATATGAAAGAAAGAAAAGAAGAAATTTCTCTTCACTTGTTTGAAAGAGTGGAAGAGTGGGTGAAAATAAATAAATTGTATAAAAAAGCTTTTTATAGTAGCTAAAAAAGTTAAATTTAAATTAAAAATTAAATTTTTAACAGTATTATTTTTTTATTAACATAAAATCCTTTATTATTTTTTGCTATAGAATTTTTTTTTTTTTTTTTAAGTCAAACAAACATTTCCCTCCATTTTCATGGCAATCTGGGGGAGGGGTTTTTTTTTTAACCAACCAATAAACATCCTTCATATTTCTCCTCTTAAACAAACAATGGAAATTTGGTAAGACAAAACTTAGGTATAGTATTATAGGTATTATTGGTGTTGTTCTCTAACCAAAATTAGAGTTTCATCTCGACAATATGCACTTACATTTAATGTAGACCTCGATAATATACATTATGTATATTATCAAGGTGAAACTCCAATTCTGTTTGGAGAACAGCCTCGAGAGTACCTAAGGTAATACTATATCTAAGATTTGTCCAATTTGGTATTCAGTCCTATTTCATTTCATTTCCTTCCCCTTTATTTACACTTGAAACAAAATAGGACAAAAGAGTGAGATAACTCAAACGATTCAGCAATTCTCAAAACAAGAACGCACGGGGTCAGCGTGGAAGAAACCGTGTGATAAAATCTGCTCCAAGTAAGACTCAACAGCATATCGTCCTAACCTATAGAAGATAAGGTAGCCATTATCAGTTATTGAGATGCACAGATGTGTGAGGTAAGATGCCAGTAGTAACTTTGCTTGAAGAAATTTGGATGCTATTAACCTTTTGCGGTCAACACCCAGTTGATCTAAAGCTTGTATTTTATTTATTTTAACCCCTGGAACATACTCCATTGTCAGAATCTGCATTGAAAAAATATCTAAATTATAGATAAATAAGAAAGATATCAAAAGTAAAAACAGGAAAGATGTATAGCTGCTATATATTATCTACGAGAACTTATGGTTAAACCTGTGGAGTGGTATAATCCCAGAAGATTGTAGGGACTTTCACATAATCCAAGTTCTTAAAGTTACTTGCAAATAGTTCTGCATTAGCAGCTTCCTTGGTGTAATCAATCTCCTGAAAATTGTTAATCCATGTTACATTAACAGGATCAGATAAAGTTGAGGATGTGCAGAAAACATGTGCAAACATCATACTAAAACGAGAACAAGATCCACAAATCAACCCCTCCAAACCGGCAATGTGCTAACAAGTTCCTTTTATACATTACATTGGCTAGGCACTAACAATTGAAAAACAATAATACTGTTGAAAGTTTTATAAAACAACTGGTGACATATGAAATTCTCAATAAGCATGCCTCTTGTTGAAGCATTATAATTTCACCTATAAAACAAAATTCCCTATTTGCCATTTTTACTCCATCACCTAACCAGGTAAAATTGTTGGTCACACCTTATCCCTTCTGTCAAAACAACTCAAGTAACACTTTCATTAATCTCCTTTCTGTTTGAACAAAGAGCCTCTTAATCAACCTTCAAAAATCTTTACTAAAATTGTTATAAAAGTCTTCCATGACCTAATGGTACTTTATTTCCCATGGGGAATTTCAAAGAGCAGAGTCAGCTTCCTTACCCATCCCATGCACCTGAACCTATTCAAACTTTAGAGTTGTGATCTGATGCAATCTCTATATTTGAATTCACTACTGAAGAATGACATATTAATGATGGAGAGCCAGTGAGCCACACATGACTTTCTTAAATTAATCTCAAGTAACTGAAATTGCAACAAGAAGATTCCAGAGTATCATCACCTGATATAAAACAGAGGCACACTCATCATAAATAGCAACCCAATCCCTCTTTGCACCATCTGATTTAGGATCAATTTTTTGAAGATATTCAGCAATAACCTGGAAGGGTTATAAAAAGAACCAAGTATCAATATCAGTATTTAATTCAGTTCTGCAAGCCTTTATAGTTTATAGACAGGAAGTCCTATTATAAAAAATCCTTCATGCAAAGAAATAACATTAAACAAAGTTCAAAATTTTGAAGACAACTTGCTAATCTTGGAAGCTTACTAAAAATAAGAAGAAAAATTAAGAAGCAAGTAATACAATAAACAAACAGTAATATCACATTTGCAAGCAGCACTAGAAGTGTAAGCATTATATGAAATGCTTATAGTAACACTGACCCTCAAGTTTTTAAGATCAATATCAAAAAGATCTTTAAGACCAGGCCTTTGCACTTTAACAACAACCTCCTGTCCCCTTAATCTCGCACGATGAACCTGACCTGCATTGGGTAAAACGATATTCAATATTACTTTCCTTCTATGATTGCACATTTCTATTACCAATACACGTAAAGTAAAATATTAATTACCAAGACTTGCAGCAGCTATTGGTTCGTAGTCAAACTGATCGAAGACACTAGCTAAAGGAGCACCAAGTTCTTCTTCAACAATAGCTATAGCGGTCTCCGAGGGAAATGGAGGAACTTGATCCTGAACCCAAAATATCAGGTAACTTAGGCTTTAAAGAATGCAACCTAAATATGTTTTACTCCTCTATTTAATCTCTGTTTTTTGTGTGTGCACTCAAGATTATTTTTTCATCAGCTTTCTAAACTCTAATTGGAACATTCACCCCCAATTAACTACATAAAACAGTACCAACTGTTACTAAACTAAATAGTTTAGGTAAGATTTACAACTAACACCTAAAGAATACAATAGCAATGCCTCTTTACCCAACTTTATAATAAGAAAATTTGTTTCTCATGAAACTAATTAAAACATAAATCATAAATGCGCTCAAGTCAAGAAGAATTTGGTAAGAAAATATCACATGGTTGCTTAGAAAATAACATTCAATTATCAAAAAAAACATCAGATTAATACCCTCAAGAACAAATGTCCCCATAGGGGTTCATAATATTAACAGTCAAATTTCCGAGAACATTAGCAGTTGAACACAGGCAAAATAAGCACCTCTAACAAATTCCAAAGTAATTTCTTTTCTTTTCAACAATTAGATGATTTGAATTCATAAGATCATTAAGAGGTTAAAAGAGTAATATATATATACAACTAAAGAAGGCCATCACGAATACAAAACAACTAATAGAAAGGCAAACCACAAATAAAGATATAATTGAAGAACAAATCTAAAAGCTAGGGAAATTGTCCTATTCTTCTGAAAGTATAAATACCATGAAAGAATTAGATTTTAAAAAAATGCAACATAAATAATGTTCAAAATATCTCTATGCAAGGAAAAAAATTCATAAGTTCCATCCAAAACTCTTATTCAACCTGAAGTTCAGACAACTGGTCAACATATTCTTGTGGAAGAATGTCCACTCTCGTGGAGAATTGCTGGCCGACTTTGATAAATGTAGGACCTAATCTCAGAATGCTCTCCTTCAGCCACTTGGCAAGGGTCTTTCGCCTCAAGACCTTCTTTTCCTCTGTCATTCCTCCTGCAAGTAGTATCTTTGAGTCAAATAAAAAACAAACAGTCACATTGCTGAGACTCCTCAAAATTCAATGAAAAGCATTTCATATTTCATATATTAACAAGTTTATTTGTTGTTAAGAATCAGTTTGCAAAAAATAGACAAAATTGATAAATATCATAAATTCATAATACTGAGATTAAATCTTAAGGCTCTGGTATCCACATGGACATTGATAGTGTAGTAACTAGTAAGAATCAACTCTGGCTAGCATAACCAACCTGTTATACTTTTCAAACTTCTGGACTTCAAGTTCATATACATAATAAGAAATAAATTAGTTACAAACTCCAAAGGCATAGTTACAAACTCCAAAGGCATATAACACAGCAGGATTCTAAAGCTCAAGAAAAACATATCTAAATACTAAATAATCAAACTATGACTATAGGTATAACATATGAATAACAAGTGGCAATCAGGAATAATAAATTCAGCAAAATACCAAAAAAGCAACAGTCTACCAAGATTACAGAACCAGATGGTGAAAAAATAAATAAATAGTAAATTACATGGAACTCGCATACTCCCTAATTAAACAATTGCTCTTGGTTTCCATTTTCCACCACCAACAGTAAACTTCTCTACCTTATGTTAACATCGCTTGTAAATTGTCAATGATTGTAATTACTCAAATGCTCATTCGATTAACATAAAACATTAGAACTTCAACATGTAAGGAATGGCACTTAATTGCATCAGCATTAGAATATTACTAATTCTAGCATCCACTACTGATAGAAAACACTCCCACTAGTAACACAATAAATGCACTCTGCATTTGTTTATTCATAAAACAGAGCCCAAACGCCTCCATCATAAGTACCCTAAGCCTCATTTCAGAAGAACACCACATTCGCATCATGGCAAACAACAAACCTTTATAAGAGAACTTCCGACTATTCAGCCAAGACTTGAAGATAAACGTTATAACAAAGCCCCAAATCTCCAACGTTCTCTGGATCATGGAGTAAGTCTTGAACCTGCTCCAACGACCTCCAGGAGCAACCGCCACCTGTCAAAACAAAATCACAAGTTCATCTCACTCATTCAATCAGATTCCAAAAACACTAATAAACGCCTCACGTGAGAGTCAAAGACTAATCCTTTGAGGTACTAAAATTCATTTTGGAATTGACCTTTCCTAATAAATGTTCTTCCATAGACACGAACCTGAGGATCGAACTCTTGAAAAACATTGTACGAGTACAACTGAGTAAACACTCACTTTTGGTACTTGAATTGGGAAGAAACTGTCATATTGGTCCTGGCAACTAAGAAATTGTAAAACTTGTTCATGAAATGTAGAATAAGTCTTTAAATTTGATTCCATAATGCCATTTTAGTCTCTGAATGTATATCAATATCTTTTACACACACATTTTTTTTTTTTGAGTTTTGTACTGATATGATTGTATATTTACACATTTAGGGACCAATTTGATAATCTCTTAGTTTCCGATACTGATATGATAATGCCTTACGAATTCAAGTACCAAAACGGTTGTTTATTCAATAGAGTCATATTCATACCTCAATCGGTGTTTCCTCACTCTGTTTTTTGAACCAGGCGTCCTCTTTCCCAATCTCCTCCAACCTCTTCTTCCTCCCATCCTCACTCCGCCTCGACGCTTGGGCAAAATCTTCCAGCACTTCCGCCGCCACGCCGTTGCCGTTGCCGTTGCCGTTCACGTACTTCACCAACCTTCCATTCGCGGTCTCACTCTCCCTAACGCCGTTGACGTAGGCGGTGGCAGCTCCGTTTCCGGTCCACTTGACGTCGTTGACTCTGTCGATGACGGCGCCGTCTTCCTTGACGGCGCGGGGAGCGACATTGCGCCTGGAGGTCCGAGAAAGGGAGGAGAAGGTAGAGAGGGAAGGGCGTGGTTTGGGCGGTGCAAGGAAGTTGAGTTGGAGTAGGAGCATAGAAGAGGAAGAAGAAGAAGAAGAAGCCATAGATTGGTGAATGAGAGAGAGGAAGCTGAATTTGATGGCGCGTGGGAGTGAGAAGAGTGGAAGTGAGAGTTGAAAGTTGAAACATGAGAACAAAAAGAGTGTGGTGATGAGGAGGACACGTGGCAGTGAAAAGATGAGCCATGAATTGTGATTGGTTAGGGTTTTGGCGAGTGGTGTTGAGCCACAAACCCCTTTGCTTGCGTGGAAGATATTTGGACGCTTTAAGCTTACGTGTCCGCTCCCATGTTTAGTCCAGTTGTTATCCACGCACGGCTACCCAGCCCAGAACGATACCGTCTCGCTCGCCTGCCTTTCTTTTTTTACTAATTAATTATCATTTTAGTTTTTTTTTTTATTTTAAATTTATATTCTACTTTTTTTAATTTTATAAAATTATTATTTTTAATTTTTGGATTTACCTTTCTGATCTTTCAAATTTAAATTACATATTTTTAATCTTTAAAATATAAAAAAAAAAAAATTTAACTTTTCAAATTTAAAATTCGTCATTTTAATCGTTGTGATTTTAAAAATATTATTTTAGTTTTTTTTGGATCAATGATAACATAATTAACAATGAGACAAATTAAAATAATTTGACAGTACCAACTAATTGATGTGATGATCTCACCGATAATGATACTAGTAATAATATAATTAATACAAATAAATTAAGACTATTTTGTTGTATTAGTTGTGTTGTTACTCATAATGACATTAATAAAAGAAATTTGTGTTATAAATTAAATAATGACATTTAAGTAGATGGATTAAAGTAATAAAAAAATTTATATTTTGAGGACTAAAAATACATGTTTTAAATTTGAGAAATCAAAAAGATATATACAAAAATTAAAATAAATTTTTTTTTAAAATTACAAGAATTAAAAAAATAAACTTTGAATTTAAGAGATCAAAATAATAATTTTTTATATTTTAAGAACTAAAGTCACAATTTTTTAAATTTTAAGAGACAAAAAAATACATACCTCAAATTTTAAGAACTAAAAACATAATTAAATATTAATTAATTTATTTATTTATCTTTATCACGAGTATTTTTTAGCTTATTAGGTCATATACTAATTTTATTTACGTTATTATCACTATAGTTGATCTGACAAATTTTCATTCCGAAAGAATTGAATACGAATTCTTCGTTATCTAAATCTTTGATTATATGTGAAATGCATTTACAAATTGTATTCCAATTATAACGATGACTAAAATAAATTATTAGTAACGTGATTACAAATGTTTTAAGTTTAGGTACTAAAAGTCTTTTATATAATTCAACAAGCATAGTTGAGGATCGGAAACACAACATAAATTGTTTTCGCAAACGATTTTTGCTTATAAATTATATAGGAATGGTTATGCAAAATGGACAATTTTGGTGTACCTCAATACAACACATACCGTGTACGTAGAATTTTTTTTGGCTAAGGTAGTTTATAATATTGTAAGTACATATTTTGGCTTGAACCAAAAATTAGTTTATGATGCTACAAGTACATAGTGATTTAAGTAGAAATTAGAAAATCATAATGGGTATAATTATTTCAATGGGAAACTACACTAAATTTGTAATTTTGCGTACAAGTTTAAATGATATTTTTATTACATATTTGTAATGAGTTAGCAAGTCCAACATGTACATGGTTGATAACTTAGGAAGCTAAAAATGGAGTAGGAAACACAACAGTTTTGTAGAATTAAATTCTTTTAAATTTACGTTTTAAGATAATATCAAAATTAAATCTTACCGTAATGTTTCCTAAGTTTAAATACACAAGAAACTATACTACAAAGATTTTAGATAAAGATCGATATTTCTCACATATATTATGCTATGTAATTTCTATATGAGAGTTTAGGGAACTTATCCGTATCCACAATGCAGTGCAAAATTTTTCTATCGGTGTTTCTCCATTCTGCAAAATCCCTTTGTTAGTTTCTACGATGGTGTAGATAATTTTGATAAAAATAAAATAAAGTTGATTCACCAATATTTCTTATGTGAAAGAGAATTCAAAGGGAGCAAATTAAATTATATGTAGTGGTGGGGCCTTTTTTACAAAGATAAAAGGAAAACCAATTTCTTTTCTATAACCTCTCTTTCAATTTTTTTAATACTAAAATACTCTTTCACAAGAAATAATTTATTTAATAATTATTTTATAAAGATTACGTGTATTTTTATGAGACATAATTTTATTTAAATAAATAAGACTATTATGAGTAACAAAATTTTTCTTTTAAGTATTTAATATAATTGCATATTATAACTAAAATCCATTATAACTAATTAAGCTGATTTAATGATTCTAAAACAATATTTACCGACTTCAATACGCTTTTAAACTCAATAAATTTATCACAGTAAACATTGTTAAATTTAAAGTCATTTTATAATTAAGATGAGTCATTATTAAATTAAAATAATCTAATTGAAATAATGTATTTGGTTAAGTATGTTATAACCTTAAATTTTGAAGCATGATTCCTAATTGAATCCTCAAACAAACCCCATCACTAACATTGGTAGCTATAGGACCCTTAAAAGGAAGAAAGGAGGAAGGAGAGACCAAGGAAGTTAGCTTGGGAAAACACACTTTGTTGCAGAGGGAAGTGTCACCACCAAATGTTTTTCTTTACATTGGGTTGGAACTTAGTGCAACATCAATGGATCTGTTTGGCAAGTAACGACAGGCACAATGTCAAATATACATGAAATTTAATAAAACTTCTCTACCTTTGGCAGAGTGTGGCACAATTTCTTCTCTTTTTCTAGAAAGGATGCACACAATTTCTTCTATTTCAGCAAAAAGAGAGTTTGGACATATTTTTTTCTAATTCATTTCAGTACAGACAAATTATTTTTCAATTTAATCCAATTCTTTGAGCTGATTGGAACATGAACACCCCTAACAATGATTGAACAGAAAAATTCTCCATGTTAAGCAAGGGTGTCCAAAGGAAATTCATATGACATTTCACCAATTTCATCTTAATTATGAAAAAAAAAAAAAAAGGGTAATTTTTGTTGAGCCCGAATCACTCAAAAAAGTAAAGTCATCTCTGATTGATTGGTCACAAAACTGGAATTTTCTTTTTAAAAGAGATCACAAATTTAATAATACTTGATGATGCTAAATCAATTTGGTTTAATTTTAATGATACTTGATGTACTTTATAGTTCCAATAATTTGGTCTTGTTCCGGCAAATTGATTTAGCATGACAGCTCACATATACATTGAGTCCTGTTTAAATCTCAAAATAGAATATGAGAAATCTTTAACAAAAATGGGTTAAAGAGAACATGAAAAAACTTCTTGATTGACTTTGTTAGAATAACTTTGTAATTGATTTGCAGCATAATTTGGGAAACTGGGAAGATATGTTCATGTTATTGACAACATCTGGATGGCACTATTCAGCATGCGTTTGTACAATGAATGACTATAATGTGACTAAAGCAAGGTTCCTTGTTGAGACCAATGTAGAAAGCCTCGTGGTCTCGTGCTACCTACCACCATATAATTTAGGTGTAATCTTCGGTGTGAAAATAAAGAAACAAAAGCATCACACCCTTAATATATACACACAGAAATATCAAATCACACTACTACAACTTATACTAAATATTATATTATCGAATAATTTTACTATCTCATATATATATATCATCAAATTATAACTATATATTATTTATTTATTTTGTCAAATTTAGTCAAAATTAATAAATATTAGCATATAATCAAAATGTTTATTTTTCTTCGTGTACAATAGTTATGAGCAAATATAACCATGGAGGGATCTATTACTAATTCTATAGGACAGTTGTCTTCACTAAAATTCCAATTTTTCTTGACATGTTATATATTATATAGATATAAGTATACGCACGGATCAACAACCAACCTATGAGCAACTGTCCCACTAAAATTTTAATTTTTTAAATATAATATATAGATATTAGTAATTATATTACTCCCGCTCATAATAGATATTTTAATATTATAAAAAAAAAAGTTTAATTACGATTATTTTAATATTCTCACTTTTCTTGTTGACTTTTTACACCTCATCCCTTAAATAATATTATAATATTTTAAATATCAACTTTCTTTTTATTTTCTATATTTATCGAGGAGAAGTTCATCCATTTTTGTTTAATTTTATCTTTTTAAATATTGTTTTGTTAAATTTTATCTTTTGAACTTTTTTTTTAAGATTTTGACACTAGATATTCATTTTAAAAAATATTTTATAAATATATGTTCTAACAATTCATTTTTAGAAGAGTTTAATGGTCATATATTATTAATATAAATTTTTTTACACAATTAACCAATAAAACATAACAATTTGTATGACCTTTTAAAATATACATTTATTATAAAAGTCAACAAATTTATCATTTAAGGTGAATTAAGATTAGATTACTATGTAAAAGTACTTTACCCTATCAATATATTACCATTCAACCTTTTTTAGAATTTGGAGGGATTAATTGTCTTTATATGAAGCTTGTAGAGACCAAACAACATGTTGTATCTCCGTTGATGAATTTACTTTTATAATTAGCTTTGATACTATTAATAGTATTGAATATAAAAAAAATAAATAAACATCTATTTTCAATATATGGATATTTGTAGAGAATAATTATGATGTATATCAAAATTTTCATACTTTCATAATTAAATTGGTTAAATTGATCTTAGTGAATTCTCAAAAGCTCTAATTTGGAAATTATTATTCTTGTCGCTTTTTCTTTATTCCCTACCAAACTTGTAACAAAAACATATTAAATTACATAATTACCTTTGAATCTCATTAAATGAGAAACAATTATTTTCTTTTTCAAGAATAGTATTAAAACCGAAAACACATGTTTGTTATGACTTAATACACAACAAAAATGTATTTTTGAAACATGTTATTATGGTCGTAAATTAAATATTATAAGGGATGAAACGTAATATTTAACCTCAAAATTTTATTTTTTTAGACATTTAACATTTTCAAACACCCAAATATTACATCACCTCTTCTTTCTTTCAATCTCTCTCAAGGTGTCTAAAAATGTTTTTCCTTAACCTAAATATTAGTTAGCTATTAAAAGTTAAAGTTAAGAAAAAAAATTATAAAGTATAATCAATTTATAAAAACTTAATATATTTTTTTTAAAACCACACTCGAATCTTAATTTTTTTAAAAAAAATATATATATATATATTGCATATGATAGTGTGTGTGTACATATAAACGAAGAGAATCCCATGACTATTATAAATGGCCTGCTGCAGTTGTGAGTTCTCATCAACATGACGTTTTCATTAATCTTCATCTCTTTCTCCCTTTAATCATATTTCTCACTTCTGATTGTGATGTTATCTGACTTTCTACCATTCTCTGAAAGCCGGCATGTTGACAAGAAGAGTTGCAAATGGTACATATTATAACTAAAGTATACTCATTGGGGCAATATCTTCAAATTGTTTTATTCAGTTGTCAATAATCCTCAATCTACCAGCATAAGCACAAGAGAAGACTATTATATTCTCACATATAATATGAATATTTAATCGGTTATGATGTAATCTCACTTCACGCATCAAGCTATCAACATATGCAAACAAATATTTTCAAACTTTAGAACACAGAAAAAAAAAATTAACCTTATAATGTATGTGCCCAATTGACCCAACTCGTTGCATGTACTACTGATTTCTCAGCAAGAATGCCACAAATAGGAAACGATTTTGGAATTATCATTTTAACTTATACCTACATGGCAGAGTATTCCAATTAAATAAGTGGGTATTGGGTGGATGATGCAGAGCACTATATGGACAACTAACTTTACTTGTTCTTAGTGGAAGAAAAGGATCGAAACAGAAGTACAGCTAGCATACAAGTTTACCAAAAAGAAACGAACACAAGATATTTGAAGCCAACGAATAAGAAACCAGTAATTTGGTGATTGGTGAACAGCTAGAATAGAATTGGAATCTCAAAATGGGCTATTGCTGAAAATTGTCCCTTGAAAACACTTGCACATATACAATTCTAACTAAACAGGAACAAGAGGGTGCATGAAACGTTTTGTTAATCCACTTCAATTGGAGATAGACCAAATTTAACATTAGTAGATTCTAGACGGTAATTGTTAATATTTTGATATAAATTATAAGTTTAAGTATCTTTTTAGTCTCCCAAATATGAGATAAATTTGTTTTGAACTTTTAAAATTAAAATCAATTATTTTAGTCTTTATAATTTTGAAAAAATCTTATTTATTTTTTTGTTCAAATGTTGCTAACGAATCAGACAAATAAAATTTACTTATTATTAAATTTATCACATAAAATTTTTTAATTAATATTTTTATTGTATCATATTAAATTCAATTGATATTACATAAAATTTTCAATAAGTTATTGTCATTTATATTATCAATAATTCTAAAACATTAAAACAAGATTTTTGAAATTATATGTACTAAAAAAATAATTTTAAATTCAAATGACTAAAAACTAATTTGTCCGGGACAAAAAATATAATTAAACCTAAATTATAAATATAATCCTAGAGATAATTCAATATAATTAGTAAATAATTGAGTTCATAAGTATATTGTTAGGTTAGGAGTAGGAGTTCAATTCTTGATCATGTGTATAGAAAAGACTATTAAAAAACACAAAAACTCATTTCAATAATTTGTCCTTAAAAAAAGAAAGAAAGAAAGAAAGAAAAGTCTCTGAACTTATATTTAAAATTTCATAATTCAGATCTTGACAAAATTGCTCTTTTTATGTATAATATTTTATGCGTTGCATCACGTATGATTGTACGTTATTAATATAATTCTGGGTTTGACCTAAAAAAATTCCAACTCTGTCAAACTAAAATAGACATAATTATGAAAGAATATATACATGACTTAATCATTTTTCATGTCCCCTCCATCCAATAATTGAATTTTGTATGTGCAGCTATAGGTAGCTCTTGACAACAAATATCTAGGACAATACACATAAGAGCCGGTCCAATTAACATATATATTTTGAGTACATGCATGGTGGATTTGGCTTCCATGTGTCACAAGCCTGTTCGATAGCTTCAATCTGCGAGGCTCTGATGATATTTTTCCTCAGAATCATGCAGGTGAGACTTGACAGGTTGGAACTGATCAAAGAACCAAGCCAGTTTAAGACATATTCGTTAAGGGGAAATACAAAAAGCTAAAGGGTCTCTTTTTGTCTATGCATTTTCTTTTATTAATTAATTCATTTTCCTCACATTAGTTGCATTGTTTCAAGAAATATATAGTCAAGTGGAAAAGAAGAAAACTGGGGACTGAGGGCTGAGATGCCATGAGATGATACTGTCCTGTGATGGAAGAATCTGAGTGAGACAAAGCAACACAAAAGCATGGCAAAGTGAAAGCAGCATATATCCCGTTGCTTCATCTTTTTTAAAAGCCGTACAAAAATAACATATGCACTAGTACGAATAATTCAAGTTATGGGGTCTCGTTAAGAATTCCAAACTAATTTAAAGCCAACACCAATTAGTGAACAACCGAGGTGTCTTCTACCAAACATTTTTCCATAATCATTCTCTCATCATTTACTTGCAATTTCGAACAATCACAGGCTTTGATATTTACTTAGCTAACTACTATCTGGAATGCATTTTCTCTTTTTCCCAAGCACCTCGAGAAAGATGCCATATATGCTGCACAACACGTAAATTTGTGTAAAGTTGTTCTAATTTAACCAATAATTTTGAATTCGTGTCTTAAGGATGTAATTACATTAAAATCTCATAACTCAGACTCAATACATGTTGTCTAAAAGCAGATCATATATATATACTAAATATTTTACCAAACCCCAAAGACACAACTTTGAACTTAATCCGCTGCACTATACTCATGAATAAGTTCCATGCATATTAAACTTTGAACCTTCCTGTCACTTCTCTTATGTCCATCAAAATTTTGTTTAATCTATATAATAATCTCTTACATGACCAATTAGACACAAGATTCCAGAATGATATTTGTTTAATCAAATTGCCGACCCTATCTATTTGTTCATTTTTTTCAACAGGTGGCTGCAAATACAAATAAAAAAAAATTAAAAAAAATTGGTCTAATTAAACACACTTCTGACAAGGTGTTACATATGTTATTTGATTTAAATTATAAAGTTGTACATACATGGTCATTGAATAAAAGTACTACTTGTTGACGGGTTTAATAATAGTGATGCATTGTGAATATAATAAGTTTGATATAATTATTTAATATAAATTATGGTTTATATGATTTTTTTTGGATAATTATTGTAAAAATCTGTATATTTATCATTCGTATGATAAATTACGATTGCATAATGTCTATGTGTAAGTGTATTATTATTAAACCTTTGTTTACTTTTTTTTATATTCAAATTTCAAAAAAAAAAATCTAATTTAATCTTATAAAATCAATTTTTAAGATATAAATTATTTCTCACTTATATACAATATTATAGTCATTTGTTTAATCAATTTGAAATCTTCACAACAGATATTCTCAAAGAATTAAACATATCAATTATGATATTTACATTAAAAAAATAATTAATAAATAAAAATAAAAAAGGGAGAAGTGTGGGTTGAGACATTTTTATATGAGCAAGGGAGGGAGAGGGGGGCTCTTATATAAAGACCACCCTTATTGTGATCTTGTTCATCAATCACCCTTTGTTTTCTTCCAATATTCCACATCAAAGCACCTTTCCACTTTTCCATTTTCTATCCCCCACTTTTGTTCCCTTATTAAAGGCCGCATGCAGCACCTAAGCTAAGCACAACTTGTTAGAGAGAGAGAGTGGGAAAGGAAAAGAAAAAGAGTGTGAACTGTGAAGGTGAGAAACTGAGAATCTTGTTTAGCTTATTAAGTTCCTCTCTTGAATAACATGACAGGGAAGAGAAACCAAAACCAAAACCAATCGAGTCCTGTGGGAAGTCCAACATCTGGAGGCAACATCTCAGACAGCTCCTCCTCAAAGGAACAAGACAGGTTCCTCCCAATAGCCAATGTTAGCCGCATCATGAAAAGGGCACTCCCAGCCAACGCCAAGATCTCAAAAGAAGCCAAGGAAACGGTTCAGGAGTGTGTCTCTGAGTTCATAAGCTTCATCACTGGGGAAGCCTCAGACAAGTGCCAGAGAGAGAAGAGAAAAACCATCAACGGTGATGATCTTCTTTGGGCGATGACAACCCTAGGCTTTGAAAACTACGTTGGACCCTTGAAGCACTACCTCAACAGCTACAGGGAAACCGAGGGGGAGAAGAGTTCTGTGGCAAAACAAGAAGAACAGTACTCTCCAACTCACCAACAAAATGATCATGGGGTCGTGCATGAAATCAACAAGTTGTTGCCTCATTCTTCTGTCACAACAAACAAACCAGACTTCAACACTTTCGGTGGTGGCTTCTATTCTGTGGGGCCACAAGTAAGTGCTCAGAGTTATAGAGAGAGTTCCATGAATAGGGTCATTGCTCAAAGTGCTGCCAATGGTGGTGATCCTGATGATGCAAGTGCTAATAGAATGGTGCCACCCAACCTACGTTATAGGGTTGAATGGTAGATGTCACATGCATAGCAACGAGTTCTTGTTCCTTTCCCCCATTATATATATTTTATAATATAAATAATATTTTCATTATGATATAACTTTCGGTCTATACCAGGGAACAGATCAGTTTGATTACTTGAAATCTAATGATACATTTCACTCACCGGTGGAGAAGTTATTTGGTAGTTCAATACTACCAATTATCAAGTACTCGTGGTTTTAATATTAGAAAAATAATAATAACACTTGATAATATGTTATGCAATAATTTATTAGGAATTATACAATCAAAGATCACCTAATAATTTCTGTTTGGTGATAGTATATTAAATTATTATTTAGTTGCTCAGTGTAACACTTCATTGGAGTTTGGAGTTGTATAATGTTTATCTTGTGACATGATGAGTCTCTAAAGTGTTCAAGTCCAAATATTCACGAGAATATCTTAGATGGTATGGTAGAAGATTGTGATGCTAAAAGATGATCGAGTTCATATTCTTGATATTGATTGAGCTACCAATTGTTGTTGAAGAGATGAAAACTGAAAGGTTGTCTACATTCAGCTCTTAATTCAATTACCATCCTATAAATTACTCACATTATGGACATGTCACATGCTTACTATTTACGAAATGAGAACAAATTAAGGGAAACTTTTAACTGGCAATTCAGGAAGGTTAGGAATTGCAATCAAAATAATTCTTGTAGAATAGTGTCCATTGTTCAAACATCAATCTCAGTGGATAATAAATTTCAAGTATTGGCTCTCTAGTTGAAAAGAACGAATAATAGAAATGTTTTCACACGCTCCCGCGCGATACTTTCTGATCAACTACATCTGGTTGCAGTTAGTAGAAAACGGTATACTATTTGTGGATCAAGTCTTTGTATAGAGACCTATTGTTTATCATCAAGTGTTTTGTACGAACTTTATGAGTTCTAAAAAAAATTACATTAATTTTGATAATAATAAAAAAAAAAAGGAATTAATAATTACTTCCGCAGCTCCACATCTGCTTGTATTGTGTTACCAAACACACATATTACATCAAAATTTTCAAAGATGATCCTATACTCAATATAAGTAATAAATAAGTTGTTCATTGAAAAAGTATTTTTAATTTAAGTACAATTTAAGATCAAAATATTAACATTATTAAACAATAGTGAAATAACTGAGGCTTAACTCCATTAAATGAGCAATATGCGTAAGTTGTTATAACTTTTTGTTATTCTTATAAATTAAAAAATGATAATTTGCGTTAAGAAAATGAAAAGTAAAATATAATACAAATGCCTTCAATAAATTATTTTATTAAATATAAATAAATTATTTAAAAAGACATTTATCTTTACATTTATTAATTCAATATAATGTCAAAATTTAATTTTTTAAACATTATGAATGATTAAACTTAAGTAATAGTACAAGAATAAAATATATATATATATATATATAAAGAAATAAAATAGAAAATACATGAAATATAAAGTCACATGACTCGAGAGAGAAAAAGAAATGGATCATAAAAATGTTATTATTCAATAAATAATACTCATTTTTATTAGAATGGATTAACTACATCGAAAAGTAGTTAACTGAAATATATAATTTATTAACTTCAATAATTAATATTTAATTTACTGCACTCAAAAAAAAATTGAATAAGTTGTTTGAGTAACACTTAATTTTCTAGACCTCTTCCTTGAAACCGGAGGACATGGACTGATTGCATAGCTTTAAGCATCCTTTTTTTTGGTAAAGTTATGCATCCTATTTTGAAACAGAAGTTGTACTCTATGTTAAGCTTCAGCAGAACATGCACGTATAAATTAGGAACTAAACACCATGTAATGAAACTCAACCCTTAAAATTGAAACCAAAACTATTAGCATCTTGGAATTACTTACCTAATAATTCAAGTCAAATTGTCCTTTACACTAAAAAAAAATACGTACGGCTATGATATCATAATGACGAACAGCATATTCCCTGCTAAGCTTACATTAAACGAAACAATAATGAATAATTTCTTCAATTAACTCATAATCAAAACTGTCGTACATCTAATTTTGAAGGGAAAAAGAATAATCCAAGAGAAACCAAGACACGCGAGAGCCACGCAATTGCAGCTCCAGAAGCTCAGAATTTCTCTTCGAAATGGAAGCCAGAAACATGTCACAATTCCTCCCAACATCTAGTTCACTTCTCTAGGATTTCTGACCTACAGTTTTACATTGTAGACAACTACACGGGCAAAGAAAATTTGATGGGGCACCAGGGGGTTGCCCCCTGAACTTCATAATAAACAAAATATGTGTTGTGTTAGGCAGAACAAGCCAAGAAAATTGCCATTATTGCCTTGGAGCCAATCACAGAACCTCATGCGCCTTTCCGTAATACCTATTTATGAATGGAGACTGCAAACACAACCAATGATACTCGGTAAATTGTAGGTACAAGGAAAATGCATTTAATCAACCAGAAATTCAACAAAGTGAAACATATTTAGAGTCAGCGGCCATTGACCATCCTGCCCTGAATTGTCTTCTTTTATTAACTCAATGAATATATCCATGCAATGATATGTTCATCACACAAAGCGCAAGAAATAGTTCAATTTTGTGGACCAAATTAATAGAAATATTTATTAAGGGAAGAAAATGGTTAAGACTTAAGACCATAACAATATTTCCATTTGCACTTCCTTTACCCTCCCATAAATCGTAAGCAGTACCAAAATCAATGTGATCTAGTTGATGAGAAGGGAACAAAAAGAGTAAAAGGAACAGAAGCATTACAGCTAAAAGTTCAATGATTTTTCTAAACGAAGTATAGCCTGTTTTCTCATAAACTTTTTAGTTCACTTCCACAATCCAAAGTAGAAAAGGAGAAATTGCATATCAATTTCCATCAGTATGCAGCCAACCTAAACAAGCCCGCCATTCTCCCTCAATGTATAAGAAGTCTTAAATGTTCCATAAAAGGAATTATCAATTTTCATAGAATAAGCTAAAGCCATAAGATCAAATAAGACGTTTGCAGCATAAATCAATAAGAATGTAATAGCAGAGCAGCTATTTTGAAATAAGATTGAGCAATTGACTTCTACTCTGGTGTAACAGGCACTGGCTTTTTACAATGAGTTTAGGGATTGGGTACCCTTAACTCATCAATGCTTTTTTATAATGTTCTCTATTTTTTGTATTTCATATTTATTAAAAAGAGGATATATTGTGCTCCTAACTGTCTGAAATCATCTTTAAATCTAATGAATTTCACCTTTTATTGAGAAGAAGAAAAAAAAAGTCATCAGAATGCCCAAGCACCTACCTTAACATTTGATACATCAGGTGCATCTGGAGATTGAACGGGGTAGAACTTATAAAACCTCATACTCTCAAACGCAGCTTTAGTTTCCTCACTCATTTCTTCAATGGCTTTTTTCCGAGCTTCCCTTGCCTACAAAAAGCAAAATGGGTAAAAACACAGAAAGCAAAATATTGTGTAAAGAACAAACGGAACCAAAAGTACCTCTCTATTAGCTTTCTTTGCTTCACGAACCTTTTCCTTGACAAATTCCTAGAAAAAGTAAAAGTATCAGCCAAACTTATCACTTAAAAAAGCAAAAATTACGGATCAACCAGGTATCTTCTACTATTTGGTACCTTGAAGGCATCCTTTTGATCTTCTGACAACTCCTCCTCCTCTATGAGCTTATCAGTGAACTCCTGCAAAATATAGAACAAACGAGTATAAGAGGCCTTTGTCCAATGTTATTGGATAATCTAATTGCCCTTTAGTTTTACCCTCTCTCTATTAGGAGGGCAACATGGTAGAGAAACAGTAAAATGCATACAATATATAATGACAAATAAAGACTTTCTCTCCTTATCTGTCTCACAGTCCCCTTCCCACAATCCATTGTCAAGAATTTCTACAACTCAATCACATAGCAACATGCAGACATTTAGAGTCAGCAATAGAAAGTGCAAAATGACAAACAGAAAAAACTTTAGGAGTCATTTGATTTAAAAAACAAAATGTTCTCTATTTTCATTCTTTGTTTTCACTTTTAATTATAAAAATGCCACCTTATTTTCACATTATTTCATGTTTTCAAAGATTGGTATAGGAAACAAATAAACTCATTGTTTATATTTGAAAATAAAAAGGAAGCAAAATGAAAACAAGGTAGCATTTACGTAATTAAAAACAAAATAGTTTTCTCAAACCAAATGGTCGCCCAAATTTCCTGCATGATAATGTCTAGCTTCATGAAAATAAACTACCATAGGATTGTCAGTTGTATAAGCATAACTATGAGTTTCAAATTGCAACTGCTAGCTGGCTTAATCTGACATGTTCTAAAGTAAAAGCACCACAAAGTAAATTCATTACCTCAAGTTCATCTAATTCCCAATCAAATTCACAGAAGACCTGCACAAAGCAATACATAATTAAACATACAAATTTGAAAATCAAATAGTGCACTAATCTTACCATCTTGTTAAGAAAAAATTATTAAGAAAGTTCATTTCACAACCATATCATTAAAATATATATATATATATACATATATATATATTGGAACACTGTCAATTCACTGGGAAATTTTTCTTCAATGTAATTACCGGCTTTGGCTCGGCTGGAAATATTATTGGAACTTCAGTGCTCTGTTCAATTTCATCTTCCTTAAATGGCTGATAGAAATCTGCAGAAAAAATAGCAGTCACTAAGAAACTATCTTAATAAGAACATCAACATTAACTGATGAAGAATCGTCATGCATTGTGCAAAATAAGGCACCAATAATTGATCAAAAAATTTCATTATCACGTTTTTATTTAATAAGGAACCAAAACACAAGGCATCACAAATATCATTGTCAATTTTTTATTTAATAAAATTTCATTATCTTTTCTCTATTAGATAGAACACAGATATATTATATATATATATACATACTCATGAGAACAATTTTAATATTATAAAGCTAGTAGACTTACAAGGCAAGCAGTACTCGTATTTCTTTAATCTATCCAACTTCAGGTGTTTTAAAGCAGACCTGTGTCACAGATTATAACATAGGTAAAAGGAATCATTCATAAATAGTCCACATCAAGGTCAACTAGAAAAGAGTGCGTAGGTAAAAATCATTACATGAAGATGCCAACAATTATAGTAAAAGGTCAATTCATCAAGTTGCATATAAAAAATAAACTTCCAAATACTCAGTTTTTCCGGAGCACCCATTTTGTTTTTATGGATGCACAAACTCATTTATTTTATAAGGCCCAATGAATCCAGATGTTAGTCAGCAAAGATCAAGCAAAGGAAGCAATGTAGGTATTGAAAAATTTTATAAATAACAATAATTTAAATGCTACATATTTTGAGAGGATGAGTGCATTTCTGCACTGTGGGGCTGAAAACCACTACAAATGGAACACACCAAGGATAATGAAAAAATTTTCCAAAATTTACATAACACAGAATGCTTAAACAAGTCATCTACTAGAGGATAAAAACAAGCATGCAGAAAGTTGTTGAAGATTCTTCACACTACTTGAAAAACTAGTTTTTTTTTTTTCTACATGCTGAAGGAAATACGATGCAACCACCAAACAAAATTTAGCATCATGATAGACTTAAAATTTACATTGAAAAATGAAAATGATGACTAAGAATAACAAGAGAACAGTTAAAAGCACAATAACAAGATTATTTAAACTAGATAACCTATAACAAGGTATATATCTTCCTCCAAGAACAACACATTTATAAGATCTGAAATGAGCTATAAAATACAAAATTGAAAAGGAGAGAAAGAAAAAGTTATACCTTCTTTGGGTGCAACTCAAGATAAATATTTGGGATTTTAATCTATCAACTTGGCTATCTCTGTTGAAAATATAAAAATCACATGAAGAAGTTTAGAGATGACCAAGAAGCAATAATTCATAAACAGATTCCAAAAAAAAACCACCAAAAACAAACAAATTGAGATCAATACCGGTCCACCAAAGGAATATATGGCACCCAGTCCATTTTCATTTGCTTCATGGGAATTATCTCTTCAGACTCTCTCTGAACCGAGTTAATCCCAATTTTATCAGATGGTGGGAAAGGCGATACAACCTGCAGAAGGAAGTTGCAATATTTTCAGAATTAAAATCACAACACAAAAATTCAAATCATCATGTTTGATACAATGTTGCTTCAACATGTAAAACAGGCAACAGAACACATTCAATGAACTGACAATAACACCTTTACACTGAAATCACCAAGGATATGATTCCTAAGTCTATACCCTATATCAAAGAACACACACAAGCAACAACTAGAAGGAACACATTATTATCGCATACTTGCAAGATAAAACAGTCTATTTTCCTGAAAAAGCTAAAAAGCAATAATCAATTTGGTCAACACGTATTCACGATCCATGTAAACAGCCCAGATTGACAACTTACAGCTACCACCACGGGTATGCAGACAACTTTGCTTTCTCCTTTAAACATGACCAGTTGAGCTGCAGCCAGAAAGATCAACGTAAGACCAATGCCCAAACAACAAACGCAAACAGCTACAAAGCAAATCAGTCGCGATAGAACAAAATAAAGTCCTGCAAGCCCACTTACGCTCAGTGCAACCAAAGAGGTAAACCTTTTTCTCATACAAGACGCCACCCTCCTCAAACGCATTCTGAAAACACACCCACAAAATCACAACATCATCAGCAATTAATCAAAATAATGCAGTTTACTTCACTCAAGCAGAGACCACCAAACCAAACAAAACCTAAGCAGCCCCAATCCAATACTCACTTCTAGATTTGAGAAATCCCACTTGAATTGATACACGGAATCCAATTGGTCCCACTGCAATTACAACACCAAAATGTTACAAAAGAACACAGCACACACGTAAATGAAGTAAAAATAAAAAATAAAATATAAAAAAACACAAATTAATGGAACAAACCTCAGTTCCAACGGGAAACGTTTCCTTCCACAAATCTTCCTACACAACCCAAATTGACAAACACCGTCTTCCATCAGTGAAACCAAAAAAAAAAAAAAAAACTAAACAGTTATTACAGCGAGTTCCAAGTATAGTTAATAAATAAAACGGTCCCGTTCTTCACAATGTTTCTCGTTGGGCGCAAAGTGAAAGAAACGCTTGAATCCGAATCGAAGTTTAAATAATAAAAAATATATGAAGTGTTTAACTAACCAAGTTGCGCTTGTCTTCGAAGTACTCAGGTTCGGATTGAGGTTTGGAGGTCTTGGCTCGTTTAGCTCGAGGAGGTTGAGGTTGAGGTTGAGGTTGTGGTTCGGTGGTGCTGTTGTTCTCTGCGTCGTGTTTGGGTTGCTGCTCCTGCTTCGTCTTCCTCTTAGTTCCTTTCCTCATTGCGGTGGGGAATCTATGGCGTGGTGCCAAACAGGGAACAAGGAGAAATAGGGTTTGGGTGGGTTGGAGCGTGAATGAATACAAGGCGCTGGATCCAGATTCAAATGGAGACACACGTTTTTTGAAACGCATAAAACAAAATATTATTTTATTTATAGCGTGCCTGGGTTATGTTATGAGGCGTCAAAACTACGCGGCTTTTCTACAAATAATCTTCAAACACTTTAATTTTTATTATTCGCATTACACTGGATTTCCTATTAATTATTAATTAAATTTATATATTTATGGATATTATCTAATAATTATTATTTTTATATATTATTCAATAATGGACACGCTAAAAAATGTTTCAAAGGCCGTTTTCTCGCTAGAATAGATAATTAATGTAATAGAGTTTTTTTTTTTATTGACATATTTCAAGGAGAGTTTTAAAAAATCAATAACTAATCTTTATTTGTAGATCATAATTTTCACTAATTAAACATGTTTTGTAATAAAGTATTTTTATAATTAATAAAAGGATATAATTATTTTTTTGTGTATTTTTTATTAAAACCAATTAAAACAGGTTATTTTATCAAGTTGGATCGGGTGAAATTAAAAATAAAATAAAATAAAATAAGTTAGGCCAAATACCGACATATTTGAATTTAGTTGTCATGTTTAAGTATATAGTGTATATTGGTGTAAAAAAAGGGTATATAGTGTATATTAAACATTAAATAAAATTAAAGTTTATTTTATTTTTATTTTTTCTTATTTTTATCTTGTACTTATATTGACCGGCAAACTAATCCTAAGATTTGTCAAGACGATGATTAAGGTTGTTTTTTTTTTTATGTTTTATATGGTTATTTTATGTTGCTTACCCTAATTAGTGTGATTCAATCATTTGGAGAATTATCATTCAATGTAGTTAAAATGATATAAGCAATTAGAGTATTTTTTTTTTAAATAATTGTTTTGAAAAATTCCTTCAAAAATTACCAAAACAAATTCTCGTGGGCTTAAAAATAACTAATACATGCACTAAATTTTTTTTGGCCCAATAAACTCGCACAATTCTTTTATCGTCTCCCTTCTTTATCAGCAATGTCTTGGATAAATAATGCACATGTAACTTTTTTTTACAAAATTGAGATTTCGGATTTTTGTCTTGTTTCTTAGATTTAAAAAAATTGTTTAATAAGAATAGTTTTAAAAATTGATTTCAAAAATAATATCTGTTTCTTTGTTTTCAAAATTTTTATAAAAAAAAACATCTCTATACTATTTTAGTTTTTTTTTTAATTTCCATTACACGTGTTCTTTCTTGCGTTGTTTCTTCTTTTTACTTCATTTTTACTCTCTAAGAATTAGTTTTTGAAAAATGTTTTATTAATGATGTTTAAAAAAAAATTAAAAAAATCAAGTACACTCTTTTTTTTAGAGTTTTGAAAGTGTAAACCACTCTAAAATCAGTTAAACCCGGAGAATATGAAACAAAAGCTTCTTTAGTGTTTACTAACAAAGCAAAAAAAAATGCAAAACAACATAAAAATTCTCAAATTAACATTCAAATATAACCCAAAATATATTAACTTATGAACAACCTGTTTAGCTTCACACTTGACATGATACCAACCAAAATTTCCCCAACACTACCAAAGGAATGGATAGCCTGCAGCAAACTATAGCACAGATAATGAGGCTCATGTCCTTTTTGAAGAAGAGTGACTACATTTAATGAACCAGTTTCAACCATAAAACTCTTGTACCCTTTGGAGAACAGAACAAAAGCCTATATTTAACTGCAACATCACAGTTTAATTTGAAGCTTCCAGATGGCAGATGAATTGAGTATTGTACCACATGTATTAAGATCGAGTGCACTCTTAATATATGTGGTTTTATTTCTAAACTATTTTTTTGTTGTTAATAAGTCAAAATAATATTATTATTAGTTTTAAGTATCGATATAAAAAAATAAAAACTAAAATAAAATAAAAAGTTTTAAAGGCTTATGTTTAAATTGCATTACAAAAATTCAACATTTTTTGTAGATAAATTCCCAATGAATATTTGTTGAGCTTTAATTTTTTTTATCCTAAAATAGTTTTGTTCTCATGTTTGGATCATAACTTATATTTGAATTTACTCGTGTTATAAAAACAATAGATTTGATAGAATACATGCTTTATACCATTGTTTATTGTGAGATGTACAAGACAAAAAAAAGTAACTTAACTTATTTATTGGAGATCCCACGTTGATTAGTAATATGATTAAATTAGTGTATATAAGTGAGAAACAGTCATTACTTTACAAGTTAATTTATACATAATTTTAAAAATCATATTGGTTATCAAACTAATTAAGATACTGGGTCAAAAGTTGAACCATTGAGTCACTAATTGAATTGTATAATCTAGTCTTTATTATTTTTTAAAAAAATATCCAAGTCATGTATATTTCATACCTACATGCTACAAATTTAATGAAATCCATACCATGTTTTAAAGAAGTTTAAAAATAGAATTGTAGTCAATATAATACTCACAAAACAACTAAATTATAGATTGATTGAATCGTACAAATTAATACATAATTTTAAATTAAAACATACTATATAAATTATTTAAGTCAAATATATAACAATAGTATATGTTGATTTAGTGATTATTAAAATGATTAAATAACCAAATTCATCCATGTTGCATGTTTTATCTAGTCCAAAAAAAATTAAATGAAAAAATAAATTAAAATTGAATTGAAAGAATAAATATATAATTTTAAATAAAAAAATATACTAAAAAAGTTATTTAAGTTATATATTTTTTAATACGTGTATGTATAATATATTTGTCTATATTATAAGTAAAGTATTAAATGGTGTAATGTTGATTATGCTAGTCTTAAAACCTTAAGAATGGTGTTCAAACTTGTTAATGATTTTTTTATGATTTACTTTCACTTAAAATGAACACATAAGAATTGGAGGTGCACAATAATCGAAGAAGCACTAACACACGCGAGGTGCAACAATTGGCAAATGTAAAGGCACAGTCCAAGCACATCAGATAATTGAGAATAGCTAATAAAAAATATCATATTAAAATAAATAACTTAGGTTAAATGAATACAAATAAAGTTATCGTGTGTCATCGTCATCGTAATTTCCTTTATTATTATTATTATCATTATTATTGTAATTATCATTATTTTCATCTACTAACTATTGTCACATCATAATTACCATTATCGTTATTGGTGATGACAATTACAATAATGTTGATTATGACAGTAATAATGGAGGGAACTATGATGATAATGGTACATTATAATTTTATTTGTAATTTCTTAATTTAAGAGGACGTTTGATACATGAAAATTTTTTACTTTTTTGTGAATCTGACATCAATAATGGTTTTTAGATAGCTTTCCCACAAAATCACTCCCATAGAAGATTTGAGAAATTAGTTTTGCTAAGGTAAAAGTAAAATTCTAATGTGTTTAAAAAAGTTAATTCTCAAGTAGAGGTACTCGTGGAATTAGATCAATCTAAAGAACCTACCAATCCAAACCAAATCAATTAAATTGATTTTATTTTATTTTTTTTGTCCGGGTCCAATCTAAACCAAACCAATTAAACCCGGTATTGATTGGTTTTGGTATTGGATTTATACATTTAAAATTCAAACCAATCCAAACCAAGTCAATATTTAATATATTTTTATTTATATATAGTTAATAATTAATATGTGTGTATCAATTTTATTACTTTAAAGACAAGTTTGTTTAACAATATGTAGATTTTTTATTCATTTTCTCAAATACTTTAAGAAATTAAAAGGAACTATACTACAATATATTGAGATTTTCACATAATGTAGTGTGTTATTGAAATCCTTATGAAGATTAAGAAAAAGAAACCAAAAGGAATAATGTTGCAAATCCAACAATTTAGTTAATGTTGGAAATTTTATTTACTTTGAGAGAAAAAAGTTATTTATTTTTTAAAACTCATTGGATATTTGACTAATAAGTGTCAAATTTACTTAAATGACTTAACTATTTTGACACTTATTTAACTAATTTTGAAAGAAATTTGTATTTTACCCATAAACTATTACAAATTTCAAAGGCCAAATCACTCAACCGTTTGGAAAGGGATGAGCGGATTGGCTCCAAAGAAGTGCAAATTTTTGCTTTCTTGGGACTCAGCGGATTCAAAAGGGATCAACCATTGAAGTTGGTTCGCCATGAACCATCATCCAAACCGCTCAGCCATTTGAAAAGGACTTAGTGATTTACTTTCTCTCTTTCGTACTTTATTTTATTTGCTACATATATATAAGGATTGGAGAGCAAGAATAAAGGGAGAGACTCATAGAGAGTTGTGCGAGAATTACAAAGTAAACAAGGAGTCCAATAATTACCTGAGAACAAGGGTTTTAGGATCTTTCTTTTTTTCTTTTACACATTCTCCATGTATTTTTTTATTAGCTCTCATACCATGAGTGACTAACTTTTCTTTTTGTTGGGGTTAAATAATCTTTCAAACTCTCACGTAATATTTATTTATTTATATATATGATAATCTATTATTCAATGTTGGTGATTTTGACCATATTCTTAATGTTAGAGTGACTTTATCACTCATCTTTGATATTTGATCTGGATTTTGGTTATAAAACATTACATTTTCTAAGTTTGGTTTTAAATCAAATCACTTAACAACTCTAAAGACTATGAATAAATTTGTAGTGGTTAGTTGAACAAGTTCTTAAACTTAATGCAAGGTTTCTAATTTGATAAGTAGATAAATCATTTATTGAGTTAGACTCCATAGAAATTCTAAATGCAAGGATTTGATTTAGAATGACCTTAATGAACTCAATATTATTGGATGATAAAAATTATATATAAATGATCTCAAGATAACACAAGAATGAGATTGGTGAAACTCAATCCTAACAACTTTGCATACTATTATATTTTAGTTTTACTATTACTTTGATATTATCTTTTTCTAATTCCAATGTTGAAATATGAACAACGTCATGTGTTATAATATTTGTGAATCTTTCTATTTCAAGTTTTTACTATAATACCATAAATTATAGATAGCTTTCAAGTCCACAAGGTTTGACAACCTACATTTAATTCTTATACTATAGTGATTTGGTGCGTTTACCTCAAAATCTCGTCAATGACTCGAATCAAATTAACCCAATCAAGATCGAATTTGTTTGGTTTGAGTTAAGCAAAAACAATTATAAATTTTGAACCAATTAAGATTTTTGATCAAACTCATACCAACCCAATGATTGTTATTTGATTGTTTTTATATTCCCATATTAACAAGTATTATTAATTGAATCATTTTTCACATATACATACATAAATAATTTTAAAAACCAAGTTAATAAAAAATAAAATAAACTATAATTAAATTATGTACTTACACAATTTTTTTACTTGTACTTTTAAAATAACATAACACATTAAAATAAAATGAGAAAAAAATCAAATAGTTTTTTAACTTCACAAAAACTTAATAGACATGTATACTTTTAATAGTTGAAATAATATACATTATAAACATTTTTCTTAATATAAAAAAATTATATTTTTTCGTCATCATATTGATAAGAGTATTTATTGACTTTACAAAAAATTAGTCTTCCCAGGACATTGACTTCATTAAAGTTATTTCCTAGGATTTTTTTTTATATCAAACTCAAGACTCAGAACTTGAAACCTTGAAATTTGAAGACCAATCGCAACACCAATTGGTTCATAAACATTTTTAAACACCAACTTGTATTTTTTAAAAATTAATTGAGCAATTGAATTTGAATTAACTAGAAACACCTTAAATAAAAGGTTATTGGAAATATCACTATACTAAATTTGACATATAATACACATCTTTTAGACTTTTTAGAGTTGTCAATTTGGGTTTGGTCAATCTGCGAATAGTGTCAACTTGATCTAAATAGAACCAGGCCATTTTTGTCAAATTCCTTAAGTCTAACAGACCAAATGAGCTTAAGTCGAGCTGACTCATTAACTTAATTAGTGAAATAATCTAAACTACCATCATCGTTAATACGTAAATGTGTAATGTATTATAAAATAAAATAAAATAATATAATAATAATATTAGTTTTTCCCTCTTTCGCGTTCGCTTACAAGGTTTTAGTTATAAGCTTATAGTTAAGGTTAACCATTGCGAGAGTTTCTTTGCTTCCATTTCAAGTACTAATAATTTAAAATGTTGTATTATTAAATGTATTAAATTTCGTAAATGTCTAGATGTTGGGGTCATATTAAATAACAAAATTAGTTTATTGAAGTAATGAAAATTTGATCCAAGACTTATAGAAATGCACTTGCCAATAGGGATGACAAATAAACCCGTACCCGTGGGTAATATCCGTACCCGTGGATAATACCCGAACTCGTCCCGACTTTGACGGGGAATACCCGGTTTGACCGGATACGGGTAAAACCCGATAAATTAAACCAGGTACGGGTACGGGTATGGGTATATACATACTCGTCCCGTACCTGTACATGTACCTGTACCCGATTTAATTATATTTAAAAAATTTAATATTTTATTATGTGTAATTATTTATTATAATGTGAAACATTTATAATTGTGTAATTATTAAGAAATCTCTTGATTAAAATATGAAATAAAGAAATAATCTAATTATAATTATAATATAATAGAAAAATAATTTAAAAATATTATGTATTTTTTTTGCAAAAAAAATAATAATTTTTTACGGGTACGGGTATACCCGATACCCGACGGGAACAAGATGGGGATGAAAATCACATACTTGACGGGTACGGGTACGGGTACATGGATGGTTTGTGTTGCAGGGACGGGGACGAGTATCATAAAACCCGTACCCGACCCGCTCCATTGCCATCCCTACTTGCCAAGTGTATTATCATGCATTATCTTCCATGCAATTATGTTGAATTTAAAGGAATTTGAGCACTTAATAAAGTATTTTTTTTAGAGTTAATCACCTATACATTGTCAGTGTAAATTTTTTTTACATTGACAACCAATTGTATCTTTTACTTGTGCCATGTCACTATAAACACATTTACTTTTAATAGTAACATGACACAATTAAAAGATATAATTGGTTGTCAATGTAAAAAAACTTTACTCATAATATATAGGTGATTAACTATTTTTTTTAAGGATTTAGGGTTTAGGGTTTAAATCCTAAATTGAATAAAGTGTTAAATTTTAATTTTAAATATTATTATAGAAACACATCAACAATTGATCATAATAATTAAAATTAAAGAAGGTTTTAACTACTATTTTGATTTAAAAAGAATATATTTGACTTTTAATGTACAACATTTATAACTATTTAAGACTATAAGACTATATAATTATGGCTAACTAACTCCTCATCTACAACTAATATATAATATCAATTGATTATGTTATAATTTTTATTTTTTTCAATAACAAAAAATATTTAATTTTTAAATATATTAATTAATTAATTAATTAATTAGTTAATTAATTAAGCCAATTTGATTCGATTACCGAATATAAGTCAGATTGGAACAAAAATTAGAAATCGAAAAAAAAAAACCAGATCAATTTAACCTAATAATATTTGATCTATATAAATTAGATTAAATTAAACTAACTCAATCTATTTAATACCCCTAAACTTCTACAATATACTCCTTCCGTTTTTTTTTCCATAGTCGTTTAAGGTTTTGCACGAGATTTAAGGAAATCATTGATATTTTAGTTTTCAAAAATGTTTATTACTTACTTTCCAATTTTATCCTTTATTTTTTTTTGCATTTTTTAGACTGTTGAACTACTCCATTAAATAGTTGTCCATTTTTTTGTTTTTTTATAATATTTTGTTGGGAACATATTGCTCTTATAAATGCACATTAACTTTATATGAGTAGTTAGAGAAAAATTAGGTAAACATTAAAAATAAATACACACATTGTTCAGGAAACATGTATTAATTATCAAGGGTAAAAATAGAAGAAAAAAATTAATAACTCATTGATTTTAGTAATAGGACAATGAAAAAAAAATAACAAACTCTGACAAAACGACTATGAAAAAAAAAACGGAGGGAGTATAATAATAACAATTATAAGCAAGCTTTTTCCTTTTATAAGTAAAATCATGAATAAGGGATGACAACTTCATTATAAGGAAACTTTGAGTTAGTTAAAAAGATATTTTTGATTAAATTTATAAAAAAAACTAATCCATAGTAATTTTCCATTGTTAGTTTCTGTAAATATTAAAAAATAAAAAAAGTACGTATGCTTTCACAAAATTCAACAGACACCGGTATAATTTTTGCTTAAAATTTTGCTTCTATTTCCAATTTTCATGATGGGAAAATTATTACTCAGAAAATTAGAAGCTTATTACTTATGTAACTCGAATTGATGGGGAAATTAGGGCGCTAGAAAAAGAAAAGAAAAAAAAAAAAAACGAAACACTGTTGAGAATGATGAGAAACTTTTCTTTGTCATAAATGCGAACATAATTTTCACAATCAATTTTGCTGTCTTTTCTTAAGTTCTAGGAGTGAGGGAGCATCAGATTCAGATGCAGAATCCAGGCCAAGACATTTGAGAAATGCTTCTCTTGCCAAGTTGAAATAATAGCAAGGGTGAAGGAAATACAGTGATGAAGTTGAAGCCTCACCCTCTGCAACTGCAATCTCTTCTCTCACTATTCCTGTGTTCCCAGTGCTTACTATTTCACCTTTAATGCTTAGGTTTTCTACTCCCTGCCATGTCAATTCACATTTAGTCACAAGGAAAAATATATAGTTAAAAATGGAAATAGACTTTGTCATAGATTTAATGTACTTAAATGTTAAGTTTCTCTCTCTAAGTAAGGACATTCTAGAGTCTATCTAATATTAATAAGAAAATATGTACATACTAATTTATTTATTTGTTGGTACAAAATAAAAGAAAAAAATCCCTTAAAAAGGATGCCACACAACAAATTATGAATACAGACAATATACTTCATTGGTTGTCCTTTTGAATTTACTATTAAAACAGAAGCATTGAATTTCCAACCCTACCAACAATGTATGTTCATTATCGAGTAAATTATAATGGAATCTTTCAGGTCCTTTGGTGAAGCATACAGAGCAAGGATAAGTGCTAATTCAACCGACAGATAAATATATACAGATGAGTATCATTCACTAAAACCCTTTTTTTAGGTGACACTGAAAGTTATATATGGTAAGATTAAATCAATTAAACAGGTCAAATTTATATTTTGGAAAAAATTAAATATTATTGACTAGATACTACATATTCTTCCTTAACAGAAAAAACAGGGTTAACCAGTATAAATCTTTTAAGGCATCAAAGATAAGAAAGATTTGCATATCAATTTTTAAAGCAGCTATATAACATGAATAAGTTAAAACAACCTCCCACCTAACTAGGTGCAGTCAAACTTAACATGACAAAGTAAGTATTGTCGGTGGCATAAAATGAAAGAATGAATATAAGTTAGAAATGTCAAATTTGAATAGGTGTTTATTTGTGTAAGTAGAAATCACTATTACAACAAAATTCATCTCATCATTATTAGGCTTATTTTAATTGTCTATTTGAATACTTTTAGTTGATGTTCTCAAGCAAATGGCAAAAGAATCTTGCTTTCAAGCCATCGCCTTTTTCTAAAGTCTTCTGATCACAAGTATTTCTCCACATACTAAGTTAAAAGACTAATCTCGTTTGCAAAAATTTATATGGTAACCAAGAGATTGAAATAGTTATATATTCATTCTACAATGAAAATGTTAAATAATTGCATCTGAAGTAATTTTGGAGGTGGAACAATGAGATGAAAGTCAATCAAATACGGCCTACAATAAATTCAAAGAAAAAAGGTTGAAAGTTCTGTCTCGTTTTATGGTTAGTGTGCACCTAAACAAAAGAAAGGGGGTGGCTATCATAATTCATAATTCACAAAATGAGAACAGGTAATTAAATCACAAAAAATAAAAAAGAAATACTTCTACGGACTCAATCTAATTTCGTCTCATAACTATAAAGATTTATTACTACTTTCCAGTATCAAACTTTCTTTCTCAACCTTAAAATTACCTCAAATCAAAGGTCAATGACCCACTTCAGCATCTTCCATTCCCAAATTCAAGGAAATTAAATTTGAAGGTTACAGTTAGTGCCAAAATGGGCTCAGTATTGTAACAGAAAAAACACTAAACATCCACAACCTAGATTTCTCAGAGAAGAAAATAGCAACAAATTTAAACCTTAACAAATCGACAAGAAACTGCAGAAGTCATTAAACAACCTAAGAAAAGAAAACCTATCTATGAAAACAAACCCAAAACCTTAGATTTCTCCGTTTGATCCAAAAAACAAAAAGTTTCACCCTTAGTTTCTTTCAAAAGGGCAAAAGAAAAAAAGAATAGAGCAAGCAAGATGCCATCTTTACAAAGTGGGAAGTTTAACAATCGAAAAGGGTAAAAGAAAATGAAAAGAAGGGGAAATGGGGTGTACTGTACCCGGGTGTTGTGAAGAGGGTTGGTGACAGTTGAGTGGTGGTTGGAGGGTTGTTGAATATGCAAATGAGAATGAGAGTGAGTGGAAGGAGAGAGATCTTGATCTAAGGCAATGATGGAGAAGCAATAGAGAAGGGCAAGGAGAAGAAGCAAGACAAAGAGTTGAATCCATATGAGCCATGGAATTTTGAAACTCTCTAAGGTCAGCTCCTCTCCAAAATCCAACATAATAAGATTAGATATGAGATGATGGGAGTGAGAATGTGTGTGTGGGAGAGAAAATCAGAAAAATGTTTTGATTTGAGTTTAAATAAATTTAGTTGTTGGTGTATGCCAACATGGTAGAAAATGAAATAGTGTATGCTGACAAGGAAGGAGGATTGGCAGCACGTGAAGGTGAGGACGTGAATCAGAATAATGAAGTTATCAAGATTCCAACGGCACACGAAATTAGAAGAAAAAATATATACAAGTAAAAAATATTTAAAGTTTTTAAATTCAAATATAAATAAATTTTAGCTAAATCAATTTTCTTTAATGATTTTAATAAAAAAATACTTCTAAAATAATAAATGAGAATATTATCTATAATAATAAACATGATTAAAAATATTTCTATAAATGTAGTGCATCCTATTTTTTATATAAAATAATGAAAATTAAATACATTTAACCAATTTCTTTAATTTGTGTCAAAATGATTTTTTTTTTTTTGCATATACGTAGATCTTGAGTAAGTATTTGCTAAACACACTCATTTTTATTAAAATTTATTAAAAAGTATAAAATTATGAGAGGGAATTATAAAATAGACTGTAAAACTCATTAAATTATATATTTTTTAATAAATCAATTAAAAATATATATTTAAAAAAGTGTATAATTAGCATTTCTCGAAGATATATTTGTTTTGAGAGTTGTTGCATTAGATTTTAAAATTAAAAATTCTGAAATGTTTTAAAAATATAAGTAAACACTGTATCTAAATTTAAGCATTTATTATATAATTTTGGTGAATTGTATTTACTATATTTTATTTATGAATGTATATTAATATTATTATTTAAATTACATAATTTTTAAAGTTTGACTGGTATGATAATTAATTTGAAGTGATTCTTCTTCTAATCGGTAAGAATTTTAACAACGATAATATTGTTGAAACTAAAATATGTGCATGCCACTACATTGTTTAAAATATGTGCATGTGTTGAGACTACTCGAAGTGATGAGACTCGAAAACGGT